ATTTAGTTTTTCTGCATATGAACTGTGATTAAAACAGATTTCTTAACCCATAAAATGCCTTATTTTGCAGACACAATTCCGGTTTTTATTTCAGAAAAGTACATGTAGTACCACAAAAATTAATAATTTCAATATAAATTTAAATATCTCCTCAATTTATGTTAATTCGGTTCACCCAAGTTTTTTTGCTTATTGAAGGTGAGTTAGATCCATATTAACTCGAATAAATGAAACCTTACCCTACTTTAACTTTTTTTTTCATTTCTAAATGAATGGCATTCATGTTCCTGCTTATGAAGAAACTCAGCGCTCTTTTTTAGTATTTTTCAGCTGAGTTAAGTCTTTCTGAAGAGCATTTTATAAATTTATTTCTTTGTTATTCGATTAGAAATGTGAATAAACGTTAATTAACCAACCAAAAGTACAATCTTTGAGAATGCAATAAACGAAATTGATATTAGAAGAAGAAATTGATCAAGTATGTAAAGTTCAACCGAATGAAGAAATATATTTTAGACCCGAAAATTAGAGTGACTGGAATAATTTTTCAGTAAACGTATGTTATTTCTGGATAATTAAATCACTACCAAATTGCAAATGGCGTTTAATATCGTGACACGAATTAGAAGAAAACTCTTTGGGACAATCCTGTCTAATAGCGTAACCTTTCCTAGGATTAGCATTGACAACATAATATTTTTTTTTTTTTGGGGGTAGAAAAAAAAAAAAATAAAATTAAGTGCTCAATTTGAAAAACATGAATAAATTAATAGATAAGGCAAATAACATTTGGATATATAACTAATCACTTTTTGAGTAGATTGTTATTAATGTCAACATGATTGCTACAGGTTGTAAAAAATGTTAATTAAGTTACACTCAAAATGTTAAGTTAATTAAGTTACACTTAAGTCAAATACAATAAAATGAAACCAAAGTTTTTTACTTAAATAGATGCATGAAATAAAAGAAAATCAAGTGCACAAGTTGGAAAATATAAATAAATTAATAGATAAGTAAAATAATATTTAGCTATATAGTTAATCTATTATTCAATAGATTATCCTTAAGGCCTAGATGATTGCAACAGGGTGTAAAACATTTTAATGAAGTTACACTAAGTCAAATATAATAAAATGAAACAAAATATTTTTGATTTATTTAGAAATTATATATATATATATATATATATAAGTAAAAGAAAATTCATATATATCTAAAATAATGATATATATCTATAAGCAATGAATTGCATTATTTTTCAAAAAAATTTACATATAACACAAAATGTATGTATTATAAATCGATAAATAAATGTATTATAATCAATGTGGTATGTATTATGATCGATCTATAACTAACTAATATATTAATAATCTTTCCATCTAGAACAGCAGCTACTAATTAATAATATTGATATTAAAATGTTAAGAAAATCAGAGTTTAGCATTCTTAAATTACTCATCAGAACTCAATTAGTATGAAATAGAAAAGAAATACAAAATAATATTTTATGAAATTGAAAATAAGTTTCAAAGTATTGAAAATTAGTTTTTTCATTTTAAAATGAAAAAAATAATAATAATTAACTACTTTAATACGAAATGTTTATCACGTAGAGTTATTTATCGCTTTTAATATTAATTTTAGTATTTTTTTTTGTTGATTTTCAATTACGAACAACAAGAACAGATGATGAATTCCAGCTTTTAATTAAACGAAAAAGATTTTTTTACGATTATGTTGGAAATTTAAAAAGGGCACGAATTAAAAAATATATATACATACATTTCGGAAAACATCTTTAATTATGGCAATTATCATGTGTCTGATTTTTATGATTAAAATATCCTCCATGTAAAACTTTTTGCAGTCTGATCTAAAGAATTTTTAATATCCTCATCTTTTTTTTTTATTCAATCTTCTTTAGACTAAAATATGCGAAATTTTAATTAATTCCGTTGTAATTTAGAGTTCTAAGGCGAATTCTTTTTTTTTTTTCTAAAATATGGACCTACCTTCGTTGTACAATGAATAATACTTTAATTCAAATTTATTATTATTTTTATTATCGAATATTATTTTTCATGTTGCTTTTAAATGCACTTTTTTTTTCGAAAATCCTTTGATTTTGGTCCTTTTTTTTTCTCTTTTTGGAGAAGGTAAATTAAAATATTTTTCACGATCAATACATTGATGGATAGAACATTGTTTTTCTTTTTATTTTGAAATAAAGATAAAAAAACTTTAATTTAACATATTTTATTATGCAGATTATTGATGGTTAAAATTTCACTCTCAAAATTATGTAGTTATCTTTCAAAATAGTATTATATTGGAAAATAAAATTATTTTATAACTAAAATATCTATCGTTTATAAATACTTATTTTGCCACAGTACACTTTTCTATGGCCTGTTTGATGCTTAATTTATTTATTTTTAACTTTATTATTTATTTATTTATATTTTTTTTGTAACAAAAGTCTTATTTTTCACTTCGCAGAAATACGTCATGAACTCTCTCTAAGGAATAAAGAGAGGTAATCACTTTCCGGGAGGATTTGCAAGCCAAATTTCAGAAGAATATTCAGAAGAATTTTAGCACTCAACCTCCCGGTTGATAGGATACATTCAAATACTCGGACATAGCTGTTATCTAGTTTCCTTATTTCTGGAACCACAGGCCTCGAGCATGCAATTATTAGGAAAATATCCAGAAAAATTCCAGCAGTCAGTTGATAATTGATACATTATGTATATATGAATTATCTTATATTTATATATACAATGTATATTGTTTTGTTGTTTCTTATCCCACTTGGCTGGCCAAGCCCACGAGCCCATATGGACTCATGATTGAAGGGGAAGGAAGCAGCTTCTGTTGTGATGGAGCACCCGTAGGTAGAAGCCTGACTTTTGCTCCGTGACGCTCTTACAGTCATAGATGACAGGGACCTACGGCTTAAAGTGGATTCCGAACCACTACAAACATCCATGGCACCGCCGGTATTCGAACCCGAAACATGTGGCACCGAGCGCTGGACACTCGGCCATTCAGGTCCCAAATTTGCCAACGGCACGCAGTGTTCCCAGGTGGTCACCCACCCAAGTACTGACCGCGCCCAATGACGCTTAACTTCGGTGATCTAACGAGAACCGGTATATTCAGCATGGTACGGCCGTTGGCTATAGTATAACTATCAGCTATTAATTGCACTGTGTTTTAAAAAAAATATGCGCAATACAAAAGTATATAAATCAATGTTTTCCATCTAGAACAGTAGCTTCTAATTAATAATACTGATATCAAAATTTTACATTTCCAAGGTTTAACATTCATAAATTACTCATCAGAACTAAATTAGTATGCTTTTATTTTTTATTTATGAAACAGAAAATAAGTTTCAAAGTATTGAAAATTAGTTTTTTCATTTTAAAATGAAAAAAAAAAATAATAATAATTAACTACTTTAATGAGAAATGATTATTGCGTAGAGTTTTATTTATCTCTTTTGATATTAATTTTAGTATTTTTTTTTGTTAATTTTCAATTACGTACTACAAGAACAGATGATGAATTCCTGCTTTTAATTAAACGAAAAATATTTTTTGGCCGATTATGTTGGAAATTTAAAAAGGGCTCGAATTAAAATATACATATATACATATATTTCGGAAAACATCTTTAATTATGGCAATTATCATGTGTCTGATTTTTATGATTAAAATATCATCCATGTAAAACTTTTTGCAGTCTGATCTAAAGAATTTTTAATATCCTCATCTTTTTTGCTTTATTCAAACTTCTTTGGGAGAAAATATATGAAATTTTAATTAATTCTGTTGTAATTTAGAGTTCTAAGGCGAATTTTTTTATTTTTTTTCTAAAATATGGATCTACCTTCGTTGTACAATGAATAATACTTTAATTCAAATTTATTATTATTTTTATTATCGAATATTATTTTTCATGTTGCTTTTAAATGCACTTTTTTTTCGAAAATCCTTTGATTTTGGTCCTTTTTTTTTCTCTTTTCGGAGAAGGTAAATTAAAATATTTTTCACGATCAAAAACATTGATGGATAGAACATTGTTTTTTTTTTATTTTGAAATAAAGATAAAAAAACCTTTAATTTAACATATTTTATTATGCAGATTATTGATGGTTAAAATTTCACTCTCAAAATTATGTAGTTATCTTTCAAAATAGTATTATATTGGAAAATAAAATTATTTTATAACTAAAATATCTATCATTTATAAATACTTATTTTGCCACAGTACCACTTTTCTATGGCCTGTCTGATGCTTAATTTATTTATTTTTAACTTTATTATTTATTTATTTATATTTTTTTGGAACAAAAGTCTTATTTTTCACTTCGCAGAAATACGTCATGAACTCTCTCTAAGGAATAAAGAGAGGTAATTACTTTCCGGGAGGATTTGCATGACAAATTTTAGAACAATATTCAGAAGAATTTTAGCACTCAACGTCACGGTTGATAGGATACATTCAAATACTCGGACATAGCTGTTATCTAGTTTCCTTATTTCTGGAACTACAGGCCTCGAGCATGCAATTATTAGGAAAATATCCAGAAAAATTCCAGAATGCAGTTGATAATTGATATATTATGTATATATGAATTATCTTATATTTATATATACAATGTATATTGTTTTGTTGTTTCTTATCCCACTTGGCTGGCCAAGCCCACGAGCCCATATGGACTCATGATTGAAGGGGAAGGAAGCAGCTTCTGTTGTGATGGAGCACCCGTAGGTAGAAGCCTGACTTTTGCTCCGTGACGCTCTTACAGTCATAGATGACAGGGACCTACGGCTTAAAGTGGATTCCGAACCACTACAAACATCCATGGCACCGCCGGTATTCGAACCCGAAACATGTGGCACCGAGCGCCAGAGCGCTAGACATTCGGCCCAATTTGCCAACGGTCCCAAATTTGCCACCGGCACCATGTTGATGCTTAAACTGGTGATCACCCGGTAATTACTGACCGTTGCCCAATGACGCTTAACTTCGGTGATCTAACGAGAACCGGTATATTCAGCATGGTACGGCCGTTGGCTATAGTATAACTATCAGCTATTAATTGCACTGTGTTTTAAAAAAAATATGCGCAATACAAAAGTATATAAATCAATGTTTTCCATCTAGAACAGTAGCTGCTAATTAATAATACTGATATCAAAATTTTACATTTCCAAGGTTTAACATTCGTAAATTACTCATCAGAACTAAATTAGTATGCTTTTATTTTTTATTTATGAAACAGAAAATAAGTTTCAAAGTATTGAAAATTAGTTTTTTCATTTTAAAATGAAAAAAAATTAATAATAATTAACTACTTTAATGAGAAATGATTATTACGTAGAGTTTTATTTATCTCTTTTGATATTAATTTTAGTATTTTTTTTTTTTGTTAATTTTCAATTACGTACTACAAGAAGAGATGATGAATTCCTGCTTTTAATTAAACGAAAAATATTTTTTGGCCGATTATGTTGGAAATTTAAAAAGGGCTCGAATTAAAATATACATATATACATATATTTCGGAAAACATCTTTAATTATGGCAATTATCATGTGTCTGATTTTTGTGATTAAAATATCATCCATGTAAAATTTTTTGCAGTCTGATCTAAAGAATTTTTAATATCCTCATCTTTTTTGCTTTATTCAATCTTCTTTGGAAAGAAATATGCGAAATTTTAATTAATTCTGTTGTAATTTAAAGTTCTAAGGCGAATTCTTTTTTTTTCTAAAAAATGGATCTACCTTCGTTGTACAATAAATAATACTTTAATTCAAAATGTATTATTATTTTTATTATCTAATATTATTTTCATGTTGCTTTTAAATGCACTTTTTTTCGAAAATCTTTTGATTTTGGTCCTTTTTTCTCTCTTTTTTTGGGGAAGTTTAATTAAAATATTTTTCGCGATCAATACGTTGATGGATGGAACATCATTTTTTATTTTGAAATAAAGAAAAAACTTAATTGAACATATTTTATTATGCAGATTATTGATGGTTAAAATTTCCTTCCTAAAATTAAATAGTTATCTTTCAATATAATACCATATCGGAAAATAAAATTATTTTGTAACTAAAATATCTATCATTTGTAAATATTTATTCTGCTACAGTACACTTTGGCCCGTTTTATACTATTTTTTATATATTTATTTATTTACTTATTTTGACAAAAGTCTTATTTTTCACTTGGCATAAATAAAGAATAAATAAAGAGCGGTAATTACTTTCAGGAAGGATTTGCAAGAGCAATTTTAGGAAATTATCCAGAAACATTCCAACACTCAACCTCATTGTTGATACGAGACATTCACATACTCTGATATAGCAGTTATCTAGTTTCCTGATTTCTAGAAACACAGGCCTTCATCATGCAATTATTAGGAAACAAACCAGAAAAATTCCAGCACTCAATCTCATTGTTGATACGAGCTCACATACTCGGACATAGCAGTTATCTAGTTTCCTGATTTCTGGAAACACAGGCCTTCATCATGCAATTATTAGGAAACAAACCAGAAAATTCCAGCACTCAATCTCATTGTTGATACGAGCTCACAGGCTAGTTTCCTGATTTCTTCATCATGCAATTATTAGGAAACAAACCAGAAAAATTCCAGCACTCAATCTCATTGTTGATACGAGCTCACATACTCGGACATAGCAGTTATCTAGTTTCCTGATTTCTGGAAATACAGGTCTCCAGTACACAATTATTAGGAAAAATTTGCAGAAAAATTCCAGCACTAAACCTCACTGTTGATATGAGACATTCAATATTTTTGTTCTATTTAGAATATATATATATATATATATATATATGAGTAATTATAAATATATATATAATTATCAATTATCTTGCCAACGGCCGTACCATGCTGAATATACCGGTTCTCGTTAGATCACCGAAGTTAAGCATCATTGGGCGCGGTCATACTACCACCTGGGAACACTACCTGAATGGCCGAGTGTCTAGCGCTCTGGCGCTCGGTGCCACAGGTTTCGGGTTCGAATCCCGGCGGTGCCATGGATGTTTGTAGTGGTTCGGAATCCACTTTAAGCCGTAGGTCCCGGTCTTCTATGACTGTAAGAGCGCACGGAGCAAAAGTCAGGCTTCTACCTACGGGTGCTCCATCACAACAGAAGCTGCTTCCTTCCCCTTCAATCATGAGTCCATAGGGGCTCGTGGGCTTCGCCAGCCAAGTGGGATAAGAAACAACAACAACAAACAACAATCAATTATCTTTATATGCATACATATCTAAAATTACGCTATAACTATAAGCTATTAATTACACTGTATTTTAAAAAAAATATGCACCCTACAAAAGTATATAAATAAATGTTTTCCCTCTAGAACAGCAGCTACTAATTAATAATATTGATATTAAAATTTTAAGAAATCCAGAGTTTTACATACTTAAATTATTCATCAGAACTCAATTAGTATGATATTATGTTTTGTTTATGAAATAGAAAATAAGTTTCAATGTATTGAAAATTAGTTTCTTCATTTAAAAATAAAAAAAAATAATTAACTACTTTAATGCGAAATGTTTATTACGTAGAGTTTTATTTATTTATCTCTTTTAATATTAATTTTAATATTTTTTTTGTTGATTTTCAATTACGAACTACAAGAACAGATGATGAATTCCAGCTTTTAATTAAACGAAAAAGATTTTTTAACGATTATGTTGGAAATTTAAAAAGGGCACGAATTAAAAAATATATATACATACATTTCGGAAAACATGTTTAATTATGGCAATTATCATGTGTCTGATTTTTATGATTAAAATATCATCCATGTAAAACTTTTTGCAGTCTGATCTAAAGAATTTTTAATATCCTCATCTTTTTTGCTTTATTCAGTCTTCTTTGGACGAAAATATGCGAAATTTTAATTAATTCTGTTGTAATTTAAAGTTCTAAGGCGAATTTTTTTTTTCTAAAAAATGTATTTACCTTCGTTGTACAATAAATAATACTTTAATTCAAATTTATTATTATTTTTATTATCTAATATTATTTTTCATGTTGCTTTTAAAAGCAAATTTTTTTCGAAAATCCTTTGATTTTGGTTGTTTTTTTCTTCTTTTTTGGGAAAGTTTAATTAAAATATTTTTCACGATCAATACATTGATGGATGGAACATCACTTTTTCTTTTGAAATAAAGAAAAAACTTAATTTAACATATTTTATTATGCAGATTATTGATGGTTAAAATTTCACTCTCAAAATTATGTAGTTATCTTACAAAATAGTTTCCTATTGGAAAACAAAATTATTTTATAACTAAATATCTATCGCTTATAAATATTTATTCTGCTACATCACATTTTCTATGGCCTGCTTGATGCTTTATTTATTTACTTTTATTTATTTTCATTTTTATTTTTTATTTCCTTTTTTTGTATAAAAAGTCTTATTTTTCTCTGGGCATAAATACGTCATAAACGCTCTCTAAGGAATAAAGAGAGGTAATTACTTTCCGGAAATACTTACAAAGGCAATTTTAGGAAAATATCCAGAAGAATTTCAGTATTCAAACTTACATACTCGGACATAATCGTTATCTAGTTTCTTTATTTCTGAAAATACAGACCTCCAACATATAGTTATTAGAATAATATCTACCAATTTTTGGAAAATATCCAGAAATATTTCAGAACTCTGTCTCACTGTTGATACCAGACATTCACATATTCGGACATAGCCATCTAGTTTCCTGATTTCTGGAATCACAAGCTTCCATCATACAATTATTAGGACAGTATCTGGCAATTTAAGGAAAATATCCAAAAAAATTCCAGCACTCAACCTCACTGTTTAAACGAGACATTCATATACTCGTGCATAGCAGTTATCTATTTTCCTGGTTTCTAGAAACATAAGCATCCATCATACAATTATTAGGAAAATAAGTGGCAATTTTAGGAAAGTATCCAGAAAAATTCCTGCACTCTCAACCTCACTGTTGATACGATACATTCACATACTGGAGCATAGACGTCATCTAGTTTCCTGATTTCTGGAATCACAAGCATCCATCATACAATTATTAGGACAGTATCTTTTTCCTGGTTTCAATTTAAGGAAAATATTCAACAAAATTCCAGCACTCAACCTCACTGTTGAAACGAGACATTCATATACTCGTGCATAGCAGTTATCTATTTTCCTGGTTTCTAGAAACATAAGCATCCATCATACAATTATTAGGAAAATAAGTGGCAATTTTTAGGAAAGTATCCAGAAAAATTCCTGCACTCTCAACCTCACTGTTGATACGATACATTCACATACTGGAGCATAGACGTCATCTAGTTTCCTGATTTCTTTAATCACAAGCATCCATCATACAATTATTAGGACAGTATCTGGCAATTTAAGGAAAATATCCAAAAAAATTCCAGCACTCAACCTCACTGTTGAAACGAGGCATTCATATACTCGTGCATAGCAGTTATCTATTTTCCCGGTTTCTAGAAACATAAGCATCCATCATACAATTATTAGGAAAATAAGTGGCAATTTTAGGAAAGTATCCAGAAAAATTCCTGCACTCTCAACCTCACTGTTGATACGATACATTCACATACTGGAGCATAGACGTCATCTAGTTTCCTGATTTCTGGAATCACAAGCATCCATCATACAATTATTAGGACAGTATCTGGCAATTTAAGGAAAATATCCAAAAAAATTCCAGCACTCAACCTCACTGTTGAAACGAGACATTCATATACTCGTGCATAGCAGTTATCTATTTTCCCGGTTTCTAGAAACATAAGCATCCATCATACAATTATTAGGAAAATAAGTGGCAATTTTAGGAAAGTATCCAGAAAAATTCCTGCACTCTCAACCTCACTGTTGATACGATACATTCACATACTGGAGCATAGACGTCATCTAGTTTCCTGATTTCTGGAATCACAAGCATCCATCATACAATTATTAGGACAGTATCTGGCAATTTAAGGAAAATATCCAAAAAAATACCAGCACTCAACCTCACTGT